CTTTGTACATAACTACAAACAAACATATAAGAGGAAATTTCTTTAACTATCTACTTACCTCATCCCACTTAGCACATAGTGTTTCGTCGGTCTCAGCATCCAGGTCCTTTCGGCATTTATTGAATATGCTTTTGTACTAAAAAAATGTGAAATTAGTATATCTTTTAGTATGGCATTTAAACGAATACTTCCATATCTGTAAGATAAGAAATAGTATATAATTTGCTGTTATATTATCATCGTAAAAAGTTAAAGGATATCACCAAAGAAATCAAGAGGTTAATGTATACCATTTTTAGTTGACCAGAATGAGATTAAAACAGGGGAAAACATAAGCTACCATCGCTGTAGTATTTTTCTTTGAACTGTTTCAATTTTAAATGTGGTGTTATTTAATATTGTTCTAGAATTACAATATTGTTGTACGTTGTTGTATAATGTTGTTACACCATGTTGTTGGTTTAGACAAATTTTGTTTTATTAAGTGGTAGCAACACAGAACAATCTCACTTTACGATCTACAAGACAAAAAATAAAACAAAACATCTTAAGAATACAACACATTTTCACAATAGAATCGGTGTAGATATATTCTATTATTTATTTGAATATTTTCTTACCTCTGCAGGCTCCAACCTCCAGCAAAATTTCAAAGCGTTCTTGATATTCGGGTCTCCACTATCTGTGAAAGATACACATCACAGTTACTTTATGGAAAGACGAAGACTGACAAAGATTAAGACACTGACTAAATGGGAAAATCGTATTTGTTTGTACTATTCATTATACGTTTTTTTTTGTAGACTCTGATTATACAAAAACGTCTTTTTTATTAACATTTGAAATCACTATTTACTATTTATCGTATTTGTCTATAATTTTACAACCAACTATTGTTTTTTCTATGAAAACATACGTCGGCTTTTTCGTTGAAGAAGTTGTGTGTTTTAAATGTTGGTATTTAAAATATATATTAAAAGTTATGAAAGTTTATCTAATAGGTTCTAGTATAAGTTTTGTCTAAAAAACATTTTTACTAAAAAATATATTTTAAGATGTTTGTATTTTATTACATTATGTTCTTCTGAATTAACTTCTATCCTCTATTAATAGAATGATTTCTTAATAAAATATATAGCATGTTAATATTGTAATTCTAGAACAAGATTAAACAAATCGAATATCGGTGTCTCAAATATAAATAATGATCACTTTTAAAGTGAATATAACAATCTTTCGCAAAGAAATATTTACCACATAACATTTGTTCCATCTTGTCGTGGGGTCCATGGGTATTAACACAGACAACAGCAGTCAACAAAATAATAGCGGTAACAAGTTTCATTGTGAAGACGAAAACTTCTCGGTAACAATACTTCTGGGGCGCAGGTCGATGGTGTGTGGATAATGTGCAAATGGTGTGCTTTTATACTCGGTGAATGGTTACGTATACAAACTTCTGCGTCAGACGTTATAATTCACGTTTTCATTGACAGTTTCTAACAACATTATGTTCACAAGCATAGCTAACATTTTGTAGAATGACAGTACGAAAGTAAACAAAACTCAAGGAAAATAATACATCCTTTTTACACTGAGTGTAGTGTTTTCTTGGGAATAATTATAATTTAAGTTTCTGGAAAGACTTTCGAATGGGTAGAATGTATACTTTCAGTGATTTAGAAAGTATAAACTTAAAACGTTAAACGATTGAAGAATAAAAACAGAGAAATATCTCAATGGAAATATTTGTAAACACTGGTTTGAAATATGGGAGAGACAATGGAAATATTTGCTAACACTGGTTTAAAATATCGGAAAGACAATGGAAATATTTGTTAACACTGGTTTGAAATATAGGAGAGACAATGGAAATATTTGCTAACACTGGTTTAAAATATAGGAGAGACAATGGAAATATTTGCTAACACTGGTTTAAAATATAGGAGAGACAATGGAAATATTTGTTAACACTGGTTTAAAATATGGGAGACAGAAAATTTATTTTTAACGTTTTCGCTTTTGTTTATCTCTGGAGAGCATTCTGTTAATCATTATCGTGTTATAAGTTATCAATTTTGTACCTTCTGTACATTTTAATGAACTTCTGATGTTACGGTTTAAAAGCTAAAGCTTATATGTTAAAAGAAGTGTGAAAAAAAATTCTATAACCAAACATTCTTTATCACAAACATTTGGCCGAATGGTTTCCAATGTTTTTCAGCTTTAAACTTTCAAACTGTAATCCTAAAATCCTTATGTTTATAGATATCGTTTCGATTAGACAATTTACCTCTTACTATCCAGCACAACTGACGAGTTCTGGTATTGATTTAATGGATTCTTGATCTGTGACTTTTACGAAACAAAAGATAAGCTTTTCATTTGAAATCTACAGTCTAATGTGATTTTCGAGACAAATAATAATGTTAAATATTTTATATTTATCTGTAGAAGGTTCTTTGACAATCCTAATAGACTTCTTTATTTTGTCGCTTTTCAGTTTTACTTCCTGAGTGGCTCTCTGTTCTAATGTTTTATCACTTTTGCGTACCTCTAGACAGCACGATCCGTGTATAGCAAATGAACTTCTGGTATGTCCTTGATTTTCTTTAGTCTTACATATAAAACTAGTGATGAGAGAAACTACAATACTAAATCCAGAATGTCTGCTAAGTAGTGTAAAAAATTAATTTCTAACATTAATGTCTTGTTGTTGTTGTTTTAAAACTTCCTATATTAATATGAGTTTTTCGGTGTGATTTAAGATCAATGGAAAAATGATACTTATAATTCAAGTGTTAATTTATAGAATAATAAAAAGTTATATTTTATAGTATGAAGCCTGTGTTTTCATATTCTCATCACTAAGAACTGTGAGCGTATAATTAAATTGTTGGCAAAAAAAAAATAATTACAATGAAGAGAAGTTTTTCCCCTCTGTATGGTATATTTTGGAATATCACGGTTAGTCTGTTTATTACTTTGTATTTCAAATGTCCTGGTCACACACGTTTGTCGAGTTGAGCACTAGGTGATAATCGAAGAAGTTATGCTGATTCCTCATGTGAAGACTAGCTTCTCACAGTAGTTGGTGAAAGTTTGTTTATTGATTGTTACCAGTGGACTTCTGGCTGTACGCTGTTCTATTGTTTCCCCAATGATAGTGGTAGCAGCTCAATCTGATAAGCAGTTTCTAACTACAACTTTCTAGAGGTTCTTGCCAATTTTGTTTTTAGGTATTTCAGGGATGCTACCCATTGCCAAGCTACATTGAAATTTTAATTTTAACAGGTTGGCTTCTGTAAGCCTCTTAAATGTGAAAATTCCTACACTATCGAGTCATGAAGCTCCATCTTTAGATGCATTTATGATTCTATATATCTCATTCAAGCTAAAGATGGCTTCCACATTTTTATGTAGTTGTAGCTCTTACAAGGATTATATCTTGAGCCTCTTCTGTATGTCACCGTGGTCATATCTGTTAATGTATCTTCACATAAATGCCTTACTTTGGTCTTTATCTGAACAAAGTGTAATATAGTTATCATAATAAATTACTGAGTTTGTCATTTTTGGGGTTCATGTGAGAGCTATAATCTTATAGAAGTGCCAAAATGAAGTGCTTATGATATTGTGCCTTGCTGCTTAATTCATTCAATTTCAATACCACATGCTTTGAAAGCTGATTGCTTGATGACTGCAGATGTTCTGTTTTATGAAGTTCTCTCCTTCCATGGACAGGCTAGGTCATGCCTTATATTTATCAACTCTTACTGAGCTTGATTGTTTGCTTTCTAGGCTTTGTCAGTATCGCTAGTTCACCACTATGGGCGTTTCTTTTGTAGAAGTTGTTGAAATGTAATTTGGCTTTGCTTAGAAGTGGAGAGATACTTGAGGGTATTAGCACTGCCAGAAGGCTTAATGTGGTTGTATGGCTTTCTAGATTGTTTTATACAAATTTGTCTTCTTACACATCTTACACATCAGGTGTTGACTGCATACATTATGTTCCCTATGCTATATAGATATTACATTCAAGTTGGGGCTAATAAAAGCAAGGTATTCGCAGGAGTTGCTGTCACCTTGGCATTCAGTGTTGTTTCACCCAAGTTCAGCAATATACGTTTGGTAACTATACTGAGGAAATCAAAATGTAAACCTTTACCATTAGTATTTCATCTGCCTACCAAGTGAGATGTTTGGTATTGAAGTTTCCTGCTACTTCCTATGTAGGAGTGTTGTCAGGCAGGAAAGGCAGGAACCTTCAATATTTGGTATGTTCTGGGTCAGCATGTAATAGGAAGTTAAAGCCAGTGAGAGTGAATCCTCATATTTTGAGAGTTTGGTTTCTTGAAAAAGTGTGATGTCATAAAATTCAGGGAACTTTTCGAAGTAGTATTCACTTTCCCTGATTCCCTTGGCATTGTAGTATTCACTTTCTCTGGTCCCCTTGGCATTGCAGTAACCTGTCAATGTGTATTCACGTTCTCTGGTCCCCTTGGCATTGCAGTAACCTGTCAATGTGTATTCACGTTCTCTGGTCCCCTTGGCATTGCAGTAATCTATCAATATGAAACTGGTTGAGCCTGGTCTAATTTTTATAGATATGTTGCTTATCAGCTCAATGTTTAGGCCTCAGTTTCCCTATCATTTTCCTGCTTGATAGTCGTGGTCCTCTGCTGAATGCATAATCTCTGATCCTGCTATGGGCACTTATATGGGTACTGTTTTTTAATGTATCATTGTTGTAAACAATATGTTAACTACTCATTGTTCAGAATTCATTTTTCTAGCTCTGTCTATCCTAACATGACAGGTGTGTGATGACGAGCTATTAGCCTATTAGAATGTGGCTGCCTTTCTTGAAGTGGCTGCACACTGACTAATACCAAATAGATATCCTCGTACCATCAAGAAATCTCCATGACATAAAAATGTCTGCCAATCAGGCCTACATATAACGAGTAACTTGGCATCTGTCTTTTGTTTCCACTCTCTAGTAATAGTGAGACAAAGTATCTTCTCCCTTGGATGGGTTGTCAACATAACTAGTACAGTCTTGTCCAAAATATTTGCATATTTTGTAAAAATACGATGATTATTATGAAGATGGAATACAATACACTTAGCGCTGCCAAACTGAGAAATACATGTTATATTAAACATCTACATATGTACTTTGTATAACGAGACAGGTTTTGTGGACATCATGAACGATTTATTAGAACAGCAAACAATTTTACCAGACACCTGTATAAAGATGTGTAATTCAACGTTTCACCTCTCACTACAAAACCTTACCAAAACGTATATGAGGACAAAATATAACATCAAATTATTGTAAATAGCGTCTGTAACCTTATATCAGTTCATATTAAACATTCAGTACTTCGTTGGTCCTCCTTGTACTCTGATAACCTCCATGAGGCAACGTGGCATATTGTTGATGAGGTTATTAATGTAATTCACCGTGATTTCATCCTAACTTGTCACTAGAAGGCACTGCAACTCAGCTACAGGAGCTGGTTTAGGGTCGTGGTTAGCAATTTACGGCTCAGTTCTGCCCAACAGTTCTTAATGGGATTACAATCTGAAGACTTTGCTGGCCATGGTAATCTTGAAATACCCTCCTGGTCGAGATAATCCTGTACAATATGCGTACTGTGGACAGTGGCATTGTCATTCTGGAACACAAAGTTATTATGAAACCTTGCCCTAGCATATGGTAGAAATATCGTTTCCATGTGATACCGGTAGGAAGCGCCATTGACGTTTTCCTAGAGGGTATGAAGAGCAGTTTTCCACCATGATCAATAGCTGCCCAAATATGTACTGCACCACCTTTTGTGTGTTCCCTGTGTGAAATACAGTCTTCCCTCATCTGTTCTCCAGGCAAACGACGAATACGAATCCAACCATTAGTCTTAACAAGCCCTAAACAGAACTCATCTGAAAAGTGTCCTAACTGTATGTTGACCTACTGTCTTGCCCAAGTAACACGGTGACGGCGGTGAATTCTGGTTAATATATATTTGCTGATAGCCCTTCTTGCAAAATAACCTTGTTTGGTCAGTCTCTTAACCGTTCTTCTGGATACCCTGGAATGAATGTGTTATTGCCATTCCTGTCGTAAGGTGTTGCAAGACATCTTTCGATCTTGACGTATTAACCTGATCAAAACACGGTCATTTTGGGCAATAGTTTTCTGCGTTTACCGGTAGATTTTTCTGGAACAACATTTCCGGTATTCTGCTGAAGTTTCAGGATTCTGAACACAGTACACTGATGGTACCTTACTGTTCTACCAATGTCCGTTTGCTTCATATCATTTCTGTACAGTCGGACAATTTGACGCCCTATAACTTCTGCCACGTGACGAGGCATTACTCTACACCAAGTGCAGAGAAATTGTCTGAACAAAGCATTGATCTGTTTCAAAAAG